GGACGACACGTGCGTGTGCTTGTCGGCCTGGTCGAGGAGCCGGGAGAGGTCGGAGGTCAGCGCTGCCAGAGAGTCCACCTGCAGCAGCGCCAGGCGGCCGAACAGGCCCTTCTCATTCAGGATGGCGGGCAAAAGCATGAAGACCTACGGGGGGGGGGGGGGAGAGAGGGCGAAAGCGGCTCAAAGACCTTCCCTCTGCGTGCGGGAGCGCTACGGCGACACGACACGTGCGCGCGCTCACCTGCAGGACGCTCAGGTGCAGCGCCGAGAAGAGCGCTCCGGCCTCGGCCTCGCTCTGACCGCTTCCGTCCGCCGGCGCCTGCTGCTTCTTGTCCCTCTTGTAGACCAGCGGCGCCTTGATGCACCAGCGGACCAGCCCCCCCAGCGGCGTGACGTCGAGAGAGCTGATTGGCTGGCTGCCAGAGAGGGGCGTGTTCAGGAAGGCGATGAGGACCAGGCGGGGGTCGTCCTGGATCCAGGAGACGATCATCTGGAGGAGCTCCGGCGGAGGGGTGAGCTCCTCTGAAAGCACGGAGACGTCGCTGAGGTCTCGAGGCGGCTCTGGGATTCCTCCACCCCACCCCATCCCCCCCCCACGAGCCGCCAGGGGGAGCCTGCTTACCTGAGGTGAGGTCGTAGAGGGTGGTGACAGCGGTGACGAACTGGCAGCAGAAGCGCGGGCTGGCGGCGTGGATGTTCTGCAGCGTGGACACAGAACCCGGAACCAAGCTGCAGTAGTCGTCCACCAGCACCTGCGCCAGGCGCACGCAGTAGACGCGATGCGTCCTCTGCCAGACACAGACACGCACGCCATCAGCAAAACGCACACCCACATAAACACCCAACACAAAACACTGAGCTCCGACACCATTTTTAACTCATTGGCTGCCAAAGACGTCTATAGACGTCAATTCAAATACAACCGTTCGCTGCCAAAGACGTCTATAGACGTTTTTTATGTTTTTCAGCGCGAGTGGCTTGGGGGACGATCGGCTAAAGTTTTTCCGTAAATATCGGCTTCCAGACAGAGTATGTACTAACAAATTGACCCTCTAGGTGGGTGTGCCACTTTTGATGGGAGAAGAGCATAGACTGTAGGCATATAAGAAAAACGCAATGGTTCGCTATGAGAGAAATGGCGCCGGTGAGACGCACGTCGAGGAAGAACGGAATAAGGTAGATACAAATTTTTTTTCCTGATGAAAGATGAGAGTCTACTCTTTCTTTTGGTGTGTTCGGTGTTTACATAGTCATAGCACAAACTATTCTTCTGTGGCTCTTGAAAAATCAGTCAAAATGCTCTGGCAAAACTCTGGCAGTATGGGACTCTCTGTTCTGAAAATGGCTGGCAGTCAATGAGTTAAGAACCCTGACCTGTAACCAGGAGGCGGCGCACTCCAAGATTGGCACCCTGCCGACCGCCACGGCCATGGAAACCAGCTTGCCCAGAAGGGCCATGCGACTCTCGTCCGCCTGGTTTCCCTGCAGGCTGAAGAGGGCGGAGAACATGAGCTGGCGGACGGCGTCTCGACTCTGCTCCTGGAAACAGCTGCACATGATCTCCAACAGCTGCAGCTCCTGGAGGGCGCTCATCCTCTGAAAGGACAATGACCAGCCCCCCCCAAAGTTAAAAGACATATTCGAGCGGCAGCATTTAGAGGAGCGGATCGTGGCGACGTACTCTGGCCGGGGCGCTTCGGTCCTTGGGGGCGTGCAGGATGAACTCCTCGACCAGCTCCAGGGTCTTGGAGTCCACCTGAGGAGGCTGCCTGCCGGACTGCACCAGGTTGCAGATGTAAATGTCCAGGTGGTACAGCAGCTCCTTGGCAGCGCTGAGCACGTCCCGTGGCAGCAGCGACTGGCGAATGTCACCCATCGCGGCCTGGCAGAAACCCACATGATAAAAAAGAAAAAGGCAAAGATAAGACATTTTCATAGTCCCAACGAATGAGCCCGCAGTTCCTCTAAAAAGTTACTTCAATTATAAATGAGCTAAGAGAGGAATGCAACTTTCAAAATATGCAACATGGGTAATATGAAAACTAAATTTGGCTTTGCAAAGTCTGGGGAAGATGGGGTTTTTCAATGCCACAGAGAAGAATATCAAACCAATGGAGCACATTTTGAAGGCGTTTTGAAAAAAAGCCACCGATCCTCCTCATGTGCTGTTCCAACGAACATCCACATAATTAGCATAATATCATTTAAAGAACACTTATAAACACTTATTAACGTCGGTGGAGGGTGACGATACGCTCAACTGTGAGCCACCATCCATCCTGCTACAACTACTGTTAGCAATATTACACATTGGCTTTTTCCAACAACGCCATAACAGAAAACATTCGTAAACCGTCCTCAAAATATTAGCAAGCACGTTCATACCTCTTCCCAGGACCCTTAAATATCTAAAATTATATATATGTATAAATGTATTTTAAAAAATGAAGACCAGGCGAGAGTTGTCTTGCAAAACGATGACAGACTCCTTTTTCTTATTCGTTCCCTTTTGTCTTCTTCTTCGGGGGTTCATTAGCCGCTGGCAAACAGCGGTACGGCGAACTACCGCCACCAACTGGTAGCGCTTGAGCCAGACCACCATTCTTAATATATTGCTGGGGAAATGGGTAATATAAATAATTAATATGACATATTATTTACTTTTTTACACCCTTTACCCTCTTTAAAAGGTTTTCTTAGCATTTTTTAAGGAGACTTTAGAGGCCCTTTGAGGTTTTGTGGCAGGTAGTGCCTTGAAAGTGGTAAAGTTTTATAAAAATAAAAAGAAGTAAGGGTAATTTGCATTAATGAGCCTTTTTGTTTTCATACACAACCATTAACCATCTATGTAAGGCCATTTTGTTTTTAATTCTAGGCAAAGTCAACCCAACCCAAAAAGAAGAAAAACTGTAAACAGAGTAGAACAAATCTATTACCATATTCACAGAAAATACACATTTTGAGTGATCTGTCTTAGATTAACAATTGTTAATCTGATTTTGAGGTCTTTTATGTTTCAAACAATCACTCATATCAGGGACTCATTTTTAAAAGTGTAAAGGGACCTGTGCATTATTGATCGATAATAAACGGTTGGTTTGGTTTGTTAGCCTAATAAACATTAACTTTGAGACGCTACAATTCATAAATAAAATGCAGTTTTCTCCAAATTTCGGGAAAAATCAGGAAAACCCTTTATCTTTGAAATAAGAGACGTTTGACACTCTTCTGCCCAACAATACTTTTTTTTCATCTGGATGATGCTTGTTTTTTAAAAGTGTCTTTCACCCCTTTCGTCTCGCGGATATTGTTTTTTTTTTAAACTACAAAAAAACTACAATTATGTTAACGGGACATGTTCGTCAAATCTCCTGGGCGCGCTCTAATCCCTAAACTTCACGCGGGCGGGCGCGCGCCCGCCAGGCTGCCGACGGGATAAAAAGGGAAACAGCTGTGCGCTCGCGCCGCTGCGCGCTCCCGCCGCCACTTCGGTGTTCAGAGCTCGAAACGTCCCGTCGAGCGGACCCGGGCGCTGGCTTGGCACGCGGGCCCGCAAGATGACCATCAACACCATGGCCAAAGGGGGGTGGCAGCGGGAGCAAATGGTCTGCTTCAGGAAGGTAAGCCAACTCCCGGCCGCGTTAGTTCTCCTCAAAACCGTCTCATGTCCACGCAGCCAATCAGAGAGCATCTCTCATATTTGAACGTAATTATAGATAAAAATTTCAAATTTTTAAAAATGACTTGACTTGTGTGAACATTCTAATGTACCGAGCGTTGTCTGTATCAACTTCTGACTTATGTATGAGCGCGCGCGTGCGCATTACTGTGCGCGCGTGTACGTCTGCGTGCGTTTCCCCGCGACAGATGGAGAAAGTGATTGTGGCCATGCAGGACCCCGACATGGGGATGAAGATGAGAAACCAGAGGCTCCTCATCACCGTTATTCCACACGCCATGACAGGTGTGTGTATGTGAGAATAAGTGTGTGTGTGTGTGGTTGTGTAGCTTGTGTTTACCCCAGCGGGCATACATAATGCAGCCTAAAGTTTCAGAGAATACTCAGGGAGGAGGGGAGTCCCCCTCCTTCTGCTATGAATTATTTGCCTTCTCCCGTTGTCTCGCAGGTCATGACATAATTACGTGGTTGCTCCAGAAGTACAACATCTGTGAGGAGGGTGAGTGGCGTGCGTACTTGTTGTTCTGCGGCGCATGCGTTGCCAGGATATGGTGTTTTCTCCGGTGAGGTGGTGGGGAGCTGCGGGCATAACGGTTGGTGGGGGGGGGTTGGTGTTTCCAGTAATCATGGAATGGAGTGGAGCCCCACTGGGAGCAGGTGTGATTAAGTCACCTGATGAAGCCTTTTTGATTAGCATCCCCCCGGAGGCCCCCCAACCTCTGGGGACTTTTACACAGCCTCAGTTAATTTAGAGTTTAGGGAAGGAGGTGGGGGGGTGGAAGGAAAAAGTGAAGCTCTTTGGACTCCTTTGACTCCAGTCGGCAAAGAGCAAAATAAAAAATACAGCACACACAGCCTTTTTTTTAGGAAGCGGGGGGGGCTGTCACTCATACAAGTGAGGCACTTTAACAAATGAGGAGAGACGGAAGATTGATGAGGCGTTTCATCCCCGGTATAACGATTTGATTTAAGAGAGAGCAGCCGTCTGTGACAGAAAACCTTCGTGCCAAACCGCACCGATGGCAGTCACAGAGTCTCAGAAGCAGCTGGGTCTTTTGGAGCTTTTTGTTCTTAAAAAAACAAAAACAAAAAAGCCAGCATGTCTGTCACGTGACAACCTGCTGTTATCGTGTGAGAAGTGTGGTTAGATCTGGGGTTCTTTCCGCTCTAAAAAGCCGGCCCAGGCCCAAGTTTGAGACTTTTTCTTTGGTGTTTTAACAGAGGCTCTGCATCTTGGCGACATGCTGGTGAGATACGGATACATTTACCCCCTGAAGGAGCCGCGCTCCCTGGTGTTACGGACCGACGAGACGCCTTACCGCTTCCAGGTTGGACGCCGAGCCTAAGCCTAACCCCGATGGCCTGTTTGTCCCATATGCATGTGTTTAGATGGTCGCGCTTTCCCTTTCTTTTTAATCTTACCCCATTAGTCCCCGTTCCACAGTAATCCCTCATCCATCTGCCACTTTCGGTTGCCACACATTTATAAATCGTCTCAATGTTGATCTTGATGAGAAGAAAGTAAAAAAAAAAATCATGTTTTTACAGACTCCGTATTTCTGGACTTCCACAAGGTGGCCGGCCACAGAGCTGGACTATGGTAAGAAAACACTTGCGGGGGGGGGGGACTATATGCAAATACAAACTGTTGTGAAATTGTGAAAATATCCCTACGGTTTTATACTAAATCAGGATATCAAAAGAAAGGTCTGTGGTAGGTTTTTAAATGAGGTCATGACAATAGAGAATCCCACATGACACCGTGCCATTACTTATTGAAGGTATTCAGCTTCCACCATAGGAATGAAAAGGGAATGGAGCGGCTAGGAGCGGCTAATCAAACACAGTACTTATCATGATCAGGTTTGAAAGCACTTCCATGAATGGAAGAGTTGGGTCAGTTTGCTACTTCTCATCAGTCTGGGAAGGGTTCCAAGACCGTTTCCAAAATGTTTATTTTCCATCAGGGAGAGACACTGGGAAGACAAGCGGAAGACATTTAAGTCAGTTGAGAATCTCCCAAAGACCGGACGTCCTATAAAGTTTTACCTCTCGCTCAGATATAGTGCAGTGATCAGAGAACCCGCAAGAATACCCAGGAGTCACCTCTCAGACCCTGCAGGTTTCAATCAGCATAACAAACGATAAAGTGGCGCACAGTTAGAAAAATACTACATCAGAACACGTCCATCCCACAGACGGGGCCAAAGTGGAGGTGTTTGGTCATAAAGCACAGCAGCATGTTTGGAGGACAACCAAACGCAGCGAGTCGGCACAAACGGCTGGTGGGGGGCTGGTGGGGGGACGGTTCTGGGGCTGGTTCTGGGGCCTCGGGACCCGGGAACCTCCCAGTCACCGAGTCCGACAAATGCATGTCACAGTAGGCTTGAGGAACATAGAGGCCATCTGTCTGAAAGCTAAAACTGGGCTAAAACTGGGTCATGAGCAGGGACAGTGATCCCAGACAGTGCTGACGGAGGTTCTGCTGAATCATGGGGGTGTAAAAGACTGCTTTTACATTTTAGCTTTAATGAAATAGAACATATTACGATAGATGAGGTTATATGATGTTTCTCTATAATGTCACGATGTACACATATAATATTCAAATGCACTAAGCACTGTCTGTGTGTGTGTGTGTGTGTGTGTGTGTGTGTGTGTGTGTGTGTGTTTACTCCAATCCAAATAAATTGTGTGCACATTGTGTATGTGTATACATTGCTCGGACACCAAACTTGATGTGGTAGCACGATGCTGCGAGCACTCACTTCTGTTCTCTGTCTTTCTTTGTCTTTTCACAGCAATATATTTGGCTAAAAAGAACATCAGAAAACAAGGAGAGCTAATGGAATACGAAAAGGTAAAAAAAAAGTGTGTGTGTGTGTGTTTGTATCTCACAAGAGGCAGAGAATATGTGCGTAGAGCATTGTGTGTGAATTGTGTGTGTGGACATTGAGGCAGGAGGCCATTTTTCTTTCTTTTAACCACACCCCGCTTTAATTTTTTTATGTATATATATCTTTTTTTAAGGAACGGTACAGTCTGTTGCACAAGAGGATCAACCACACCTGGGACTTTGTGGTGATGCAAGCCAGAGAGCAGCTCAGGTACACCCACACACCCTTACCGGCCCCCCAGAACTTTGCATTAGCACAGCCAAATATATGTCCACAGACTCACCCTCTGATTTATGAGCAGGGCATCCAAGCAGAGGAGGAAGGCGGACCGCATTGTTCTAGAATGTCAGGAGCAGGCCTACTGGCTCATCAACAGACCCCCGGTGCGTATCAGCACAGCACTGTTTTATCTGAATTATCTCCCTGTATTATACACCTGTGTAATCCAAATTTTGTAATATATACATAATATATGGTGCACAAGTCCACAGTGCATTTCTGGAATTTTTTAAAAACCTGTTAAAAGTGCACTCCAGATTCCCTTTCTGGATGCATGAGATTGTGTCCGGTTAAACATTTCTCCTGAGCATGTGTTTGCCAGTTGAGGATTATGGCCCGGTGGTGCCTTGAGGACTGAGCTCAGACTGAAACCAACTCCGGTTTCATCCATTTACCTTTAAGCAATTATATTCCCCGGATCTCATAAAATGTCTCTTTTTTTAACTTGATAGAGAGATTTGAAAGGGCATATTTCTTTGTAATATTGGATTAAAAATGGCCTTTATTTTAGTTTATTTGTGACTGACCACTCAAAGTGGTGAAGCCTGGACCCACTTTTTACTTGAAAAGACTAAGCCTTTAGTGGATGCTTATTTTATGCCCAATCCTGAAATATAATTACAAGATAATTATAGCATGATTTATAAAATTTTATATATGGATGTATATATACATACGTAATTAAAAAATTATCTTTTTTGCCACAATTCCAATATATTTGAATGTGTTGTTAGGATTAAGCTATAAGAATTTGTTTTCTTTTGACGTTGCTATGACGCTCTCTTTGGTCATAGTGATTGATCATTCACTGGGATGGAAGTCAGAACAAGTGGAAAGCAAAGACAGAAACCAAAACTGGTTAATGGCAGGAAGAAAACAGAACAGATTCCTTTCCATGAAACATTTGAACCGCCTGGTAAAAGCGCCGGCTGGCTGCAGGAGAAACTGGGGGGTGTGGTTGTGGCATCAGAATGGAAGGCGAATCTCCATGCCCCAGAATCCCTCTGGGTTCCCCAAACCCAGAAACATCTAAGCTGGAGGAACAGGACTGGGGTGGGGAGGGGGGGAGCAGAGAGCTGTGAGGCAGAGGCGAGCGTTTGAAGGAGGGAATCCATCTTGCTTGGACCTTCTAAATTAGGGATGAGGGCTCGGAGTCAAATAAAGAAAGCCGGGAATATAAGTCATAGCCAGTGATGTGGAACGCTCGGGCGGGGTTAAGTGCTCTCTGACAAACGCGCTCTCAGCAGACTCGCACGCATCTCGCACAAAGACACATCAAACACGCCATGCTTCTACACAACTGCATGTTCGTTTTTTGTTTGTTCTTTACAGCCTGGGGTGCATAACGTGTTGGAAATGGGTCTAGAGCGACCGAATAACTTCAGTACGAGAGTCACGCTGGTCAGTTGCTATTTTGTGTTTCCCTATTCCAAACTTAAAGTGGCAACACTCCCGCTTGTCTAACTCCACTTCTAATTTCCACTCCTCTGGCTTCTGGGACGGTTGGGAAGTAAGTTTCTGAGTGAGGCACTCTGCGCTAGCCTGCATATATTCATCTTTTTTTAATGCTTATAAGCCATTTGTGAGGCTGTGCCCGGTTTTGTTATCATTTAAGCATTAAGGGGCCGTCACGGAGAGCTATATTATGACTAGAAGTGGGAGTAGGGGTGGCTCCACTGGCCTTGTGTGAAGCCTCTGTCTTATTGTTCACAGATCAGAACAGCGACTACTACAAAAGAGAGGTAAGTGATGCCCTCCCCCCGGGTTTGGCGCCGTCGTTTGCCTCGCCGTCTGTTTGATTCGCGGGCCTCTTGCCTCTGTCAACAGATTGAAACATGCCGACGTGCCCTCGGAAGAAACCGCGTCAAGTCCTCCATCTGCTTAGAGAGGTGTGTGTCAGTTTGGAGAGGGCTGGCATCCACACACACACACACACACACACACACACAAGATCTAATGGCCGCACCACCAGCACACACACACTGAGCTTAGTGCTCAGGATGTAAGAGCCTCTAATGGACGCTTCCTGAGGCAAGTTGGAATTAGTGGCCATTAACCGTTACGATCTGCCGCACTAATGCAATAAATCTATGCGTGCGTGCGCGTGTGTGTTTTTGTGTGCGCGCATGCCTGTGCTTCTGTGCAGTTTTGTGAAATACAGCGAGCAGTACCAGAGCCACGATCCCATTATGCAGGGCTGCCTTCCCAGTAACCCCTGGATCTCTGATGACACAGCGTACTGGACGATGAACACGGAAATGTGAGACGGCGCACAAACACACCAGACTGCACTATTCCCACGACACTGTGCACGCTTTATGTCGATGCGGTCAGAAGTCTCGAATCAGCAAAAGAAAAGTTATTCGCACCCATGCGGAAACTACCTTTTTAAAAATTTGGCTAAGACTCTGGATAGAAGATCAATGACCTATTTGAACCGTTCATAGGGGTTTAGCAAAGAAGACGAATCCAAAAGGGGTCACAGATAAGCAAGACTCTAGACTTTAATACCACCATCCCGACTTTATCAGTTTGTTTAAATTCTAGACCGAGAGAACCCAAACGATTCAATCAATGACTTAAAATGGGCGACATTGATTTGCTATAGTGAGAAGATGGGATTGGAGAAGCACTGTGGAGAAAAGAGAACCCAAATGTGGAACAATGGCTGGGAGGCAGATGGCATCCTGGACTGTTAGAAAGCGGAAAATAAAATAAAAAATGCATCAGAATGTGAAAAAAAAGAAAAAAGAGAGATAACCAGGAGATAACCAGAGGTAAACTATTGTAAAGTCCTGAAAGCGTGGAGACTGAGATTGATTTATGAGTTGGTTGAGAGGAGTTCTGAACCAGTCCAAACAGAGAGGGGAAAAAAGTAATCCAATGTAAATAAACAGCAACAAAACACAGGGGGAAAAAAGCAAAAACCCCCAAACAAAGAATCACTACACCAACTGAAAGTAAACAAACCCGACTAAAGACACCAAAAAGCACTCAGAAACATCAACGTTGGACATTTAACAGATTAGATCGCTCACCATAAACTGGGTGAAAGTGGAGTGATGCTGCGGGGTCACCATCAGGCCCTGTCAGGTCGCTTAGATCAGCTCTGATTGGTGGAAACAGACCGGGACGCCTCCAGGAGCCACTGGCCACAAGAACACAGCCCAAACGGGACGGGAAACATATTTTAGCGTCCACGATTGTCAAAGTCCTACTTATTTGGGGTCACTGATGCGGAAACAAATGCTTTAAATAATGTAGAGGTCTGAGCTCACAGTTGCCGTGCAACGGAGGTAAAAAAAAGTCTGATTTTACCTTTTTCCAAACCAGACAAAACCAAACTAATGATACCTTAATTTTTACCTGCTTCATTTTTTCTGTAAAAACAATGTGCAGAGTTGGAGGAGGGCCCTCGGCCACTTAACCTGCCTGCATCTGGCAACTTGAATAGATTATTATAAGAGCTGTTTCTATAATTTAGCCAGAAAATCAATCTTAAACATCGCCATTAGGTCTTTTCATGTCATGGGGGTTTGTTACTTATGGCTTAAAAGATACTAAATCGTCGAATGATGAACGAAAAATCGCCGTAGTTTAAAATGTTGCGGGGGTTTAGCGTCATTGCGTTTGCGTCTGCCCCTTTGCGGTTCTCACAACAGAAATGTCTCTTTTCGTTTTTTTTTAGCGTGCCGGTGCCGACGCGGCTTCGGGTGGAGAGCTGGAGCTTCAGCTTCATGGAGCTCCTGGGAGACACCATGGGGAGGCGCGAGTTCATGACCTACCTGGAGAAAGAGTTCAGTGGTAAGAAAGGGTTTTTTTCCCGCTTCTTCTGCGCGCGCTCGCGCTACTTTTTGGACGCAATTTGTTAGCAAGGAGCGAGCGCGTGCAAAAGGAAAGAAAAATAGCCATGTAAATAAGGGGGGGGGGGGGGTCTGTTTTTCACGAACGGGACACTGTTTCCCGCGACTCAGACTTCCGTAATGGAAAAAGAAGCCAGAGGTTAGCAACAGGAGTTAGTCCAGGCCGGTTAATAGCGCGCGCCACAGAGGAAATCAGAGCTAACGGCTGGGGAGAGATTAGCCCATTCGCGCGCGCCTCCACAGAGACCGTGGTGCTATAAAAAAAAGTTTCTGTTGTCTGCGGGCCTCCTGCGTCACCGTGCGTGCTTGTGCGTTCCCCAGCGGAGAACCTGTGCTTCTGGGAGGCGTGCGAGGACATCCGGCACGGGGAGAGCTCCCGGATCCCGGAGAAGGTGGAGGACGTTTACAGGTGAGCGGAAGTAGCCTCCGGCTGCGGTCTGTAGGAAGCCGAAGATGGATATCCAGCTCCTCCCACATCCGAGTCGGCCATTTTGATTAGGTCATGTGACTAGCAGCTTTCTGAGGTGGAAACGAAACTTTACTGTCTATACGAAATCGGAAAACAAACGATGTCCTAACCCTGACCCTAACCCTAACCCTGACTCTGACCCTAACCCTGACCCTTACCCTGACCCTAACTTCCACACTTCCTAATTGTGAGAAATGAATATTATTATGGTTAAACTAGTTTAGACTTATTGTACAAACCTATTTAACATGCACAATTTTAACATAATATTATGTATAGAGTGGAATTCATTGTTTGCAAGATTAATTTCACTATTTTTAAATTAATGTCTATATTGCCATGAAGCAATTACAATTTTCTTGCCTGGGATATTCTTATTGGTGACGTGATAAAAATGGCGACTTGGACGTGGGCGGAGTTGGATATCCATCCTTGGCTTCCTACAGCCAGATGTACTTGGGTCCTCCACCTGCTTGCGCGTGACCGCCATTATTATTATTATTATTATGATTTTATTATTGTCATCTAGCAATTTTCTGGCTCCCGGAGCCGCCCGTTGGGTCAACATCGACAGCAAGACCATGGCCAAGACCTTAGAGGGGATCAAACAGCCGCACCGCTTCGTCCTGGACGACGCGCAGATGCACATTTACTTCCTCATGAAGAAGGTCTGCCCCCAGCCGATCAAACCCCAAACCCCTACAGTTACACACACAATGAAAGGACAGCACGAATCCCTTATGCCACCCACTTTTAAGACATAGAGCTTTGGATGTACGGTGTGGGATCGTGCCCGGCAAGGGCAAAGTTTTGCAGTATTTTCTATCCTGGTGGAGTTCTGAATGGAAACAGCTTTGCCGAAGGGCTTTTCCTACCCCCTACATGATAGATGTATCCTTTTAAAGCACTGTGTTAACGGTAGTGTGGACTTTCCACCGCCACTGGATCAGGTCCCTTTCTTTCTTCTGCCACAAGATCCTGTCTCAATGCTTGCTGGTGCATTGTGGGCTCTTGGAAAATACTTAGAAAGAGGGCCACATCTAATATTAACGAAAAGAACGCTTCACTTTTGGCCTGTTATGTCATCATAATGTTACAGCTGATTGGATTACATGCATATTTTATGTTTACTACAGTCTTACACATAGCAGATAATGAACTTGTTGTGTTTCAGTGGAAATATTTACTGCAAAGTCCATTTATTTGTCTCTGATTTACACTCCCTCTCCATCAGTGGGGCAAAACGCCCCAAATTTATGTCTTAGTGGTATTCCTGTTGAATCGTTAACACTTTTGTGCTGGAAACTGACCCGTTCACACGTGCATGTGTGCTTTTGTAGGACTCCTACCCCAGGTACCTGAAGTCCGACCTCTACAAAAACATGCTGGCCAAAGCTATTGTCCCTCAGGAAACCAAGAAAAGGTGAAAACTCACACTCGCCGCCTCCCGAATGCCCGTCTCCAAACGGGAACGCGCATGAAACGCCCGTCTTCCTCTGCTTTTCCCCCCCTCAGCGTGTTCCCCTTCATGAGGCGCCAGCGGCATTCCAGCCCCTCCCCAGCTCAGGCCGCCTCCCAGGCAGCGGAAGAGGCAGGTGCCAACTCAGCCGCCGGCTCACACGTCTGATGGAGGAGCGACCTAAAAAAATAAGTAAATGGAGAAAAAAAAGAGTAGGACTCAGTCACGGCCATCATTGTTTCAGTCAGTCACCACAGCAACATCTACGGAGCGCGTCTTTTCTTTAGTTTTTCTTCTATGCGAGAGGCAGCTTAGGGCATCCGGTCAGAGTAAAAATGTTCTTCCTGGAGCCGCAAACAGCAGCGAAGGAGCTTTTAGTGCAACTGATATGCATCCCACCTCAGCCCAAATATCGTGTCCGTTTGTTTTTAGATGTTCTTCCTCATTTCTAGTGTCCCCTCTTTAAGCCACACATCCGATAGTAGAATTCCTCATTAATGGGATCTGGTTAAAGGCTTGTTAAGACATCTAGTGTGTATTTGCCTCAGCGTGTCTGTGAGCTCTATAGCCCGTTTGCCTGCTTCACCCCATAGAGGAGCTGCACTTGGGTTTTGCTGCTGTCCGTTTTGCATGTTCTCATTCCAATAAAATGTCAGAACGGCCATCCGCATCCCGTTTTCTGTCCACCTTAACAAAACGGCGAGTGTTTCTCCATCAAATCTCAGTGTGTGGTCGATTTATTAAAGGTTTGTGTGTGTGGATGCTCTGTTGTGAAGTTTTTTCCTCCAGTTTTCATGAGCTCATTATCTGATCTTTGCAACCCACTTTGGTGAAACAGCCCGGCCATTCAGACATGCCATCACAGCTGGATCCACAGCAGCGAGCGAGCCGCTGGACGCCGCCCGTGGGAGAAACGGGCCATTTGCATGAGGCGCCCACCAATGTGTCCCATACTTCAGCCGCCACACATGGAGGGCTTAAGTCATGTAGCAGTTGGCTTCTATTGGAATTTTCCCAGGAGATATCAGCTCCATAAACCCTGAGCTTTATCCCTTCATGTTTTATGTTGTTACAGACCCATGCTGCGAGCCGTTTCTGGTCTTATTAGGTGTCGACCACAGTTTGCATGTTAGTCATCGTACAACAAGGCACTTTTTTCTTATTTTCTAAAGCAAAACATTAGATTTTAAACACATTCGAGTCCAACATGTAAGGTTTGGAGCTAAAAGTGAAAACTTTTAGATTTTTAATTGATAGTTATTTTAGATCCCCACATTTTCCTCACCCTGGACACAAAAAAAACAAACTATTATTTTCCATACAGCCACAGCATTTCCTCTCCTCTCTGCTTCCGAGGGAGCTGCAGGTGTGTGTGTTAGACTGGCTCCCTCTAGTGGCCGGATGTGGTGTAAGTTCATATAGAGAGATTCAACCCAAAAGTTTGAACTTTTAACATTAACTTTTTTGAATGAGAAGTAAAAAAGGCAGCAATTTGGGAGCTGTAAAACTGAGGTTGTCATTTTGATACTTAGAACTAGTCAACCGGTGAGCTATGTAGAGCCATCAAATTTACTAATGGAGGGAAGCTCTGAATATCATGCAGATATTTCCAATGCCGCCTATTTCTGCCTGTCTGAGGATTACGATAATCTGCTTTCCTCTTTCCCCCTAGTCCCGCTCTGGTGTAGAAGTGTTGTGATTGAAGGAGAACCCCAAACAAGTAGCAATGACGGCAAACAGGAAGGAAAAGGATCTCTCTTTATTTAACCCGTTTTTTTTTTTGTCGGCTAAATGCTGTTTTGACATTCATTACACTGAAATAATACATAGAAAAAAGGAATAAGAACCAGATTTTTATAATGAACCTCTCGCTTTGCCGCAAACGGACTGAAAATGATGGTGTGCTGTGGTGGAAAAATGCCCTGGTGTTTAGAACAGAAAAAAAAAAGATCCTCACGCATACAAACATATATGGGGAAATCATAAATAAAATTGAAAAATTGTATATTCGGACAATACACATGAAGGCTGTGCGTGGGTGGCAAAGGATCGGTTTGAAAATGTGCAAAACCACAAGAAAATATCACATCAAACAAACTAATGTAGAACAAAGGAAGTGCAGTATAATTCTCTCATTACTTTAAGGAAAGAGTTCAGTAGGATTAGAGAAAATGAACACAGCCTCACATACACTCAGACACTCCATACAGTTCCCATAAAGATACAGAAAGGAGGTGGCACTCGCCAGTCAGTGCTTCTGTACATTCGTTGGGTAGTGATTAAAACACTTACAGGCAATGAGTATTACGCTGTGGAGTCACAAAAGTGCTTCAGAATGAAAGGAAGAAGTCATAATGCTTTAGGGTGATGAGTAAAAAAAAACAAAAAAACGGGTAAAAGGAATTATTCAGTGTTTGTAGGAGCTGTGTGTTAATTTCTACATTATATTATTTTTGTTTAAAAAAAAAAAACACTGACTCACCACTGTTGTTCTTTGGTAATTTGAGTCAGACAGCCGGCTTTTGTTAAAAACGCTAACAAAGGTCCGTCAATTATGCAGATAAAGGTACTTAGCGTTATAAGGAGGAAGAAAAAAGGGAAACCCAAAGTTTTCTTCAGTATTACAATTCTTGCAGCTTTTGTTTGTGAAAGATCAGAAATTCCAAGGTGCTATTGAATGCAGCATCAGACTGAGAAAGAATGTAATTCGCTTCTGAACCATGATGCTCATGAATGTGCCAATTCTAAAGATATTCTTGGACCTGAAAAGTCAAGTTACCATATTTTAAAAAGACCGTTACGTACAGTTTGTGAAGATATGACAAAGGTGATAAGCAGATTTTGGCAAAGGAGTACTTTTTTTGTTGTTTGTTTCAAGATTAGAACTTTTCTTTATGTGTTCATATTTAAAGAAGAGTGTAGTAAAAGAGTGTAGTCCTTCAAGTATCTTAAAGAATAAGGAAGTACCTGGCAGTTGGAGGTTGAACATAATCAAAATTGGTTGGAATTCTTTCAATTTGATCGAAGGCTTGTAGGAATAAAACACACACACAGAAAGCTAAAGAAAAACAGAGAAACAAGAGGAGTCTTTACATCAGACAGCAGTGTTAAATCAGCAGGCTCAATCAGACGCCTATTATTTGGATTTTAAAAGAGTTGCCCAAAAGTGCTATGCCTTATAAATATTTCAAACATTCATTTCCTACTCTAGTGAAATACACATCACAAAAAATCAAGCGCAAACTCCTGGCGGGGTTAAAAATCAGGAGGCCTGATACCTGAAGCGCGGTGTGTTCACGTCCTGGCTGGTAACGTGGAGGTTTCAGCAGGTTTCGGTTTGGCTTGAATGAAGTGTTTTGAGTTTTTCTTGACGATATTGCATCCAGATGCTGAGCAGCTTCGCTGCGCGAGTGCGAAAACTGGAGGCCTCCAGGAGTAGAGGTTAGATGTTCAGAGTTTAAAATGGAGCTGCAGCGAGATCCGATTCACGACGCCAATCTAAAAGAGCTACGGTTTGGTTGAGACAGCTCTGCTTTCGTTTTTGGTAAGTTTTTTGTCTAATATTCTTCACATGAATTAAAAAAAAAATGTTTTAAAAAGGAGGCGGGGCACTTTTAGAGCTGACCAGCCCGACGAAACAGAATCAAGAGTATTTCCGTCTTTAGATTGCCAATACTCATGATAACCTTAGTAAAAGAAAATATATGGAGGTGGTGCAAAGTGTACAGCGTTTTCAGGCACACAGTGCTGGGGAGCGGTTGGTGTGTCTCAGAGCTCTGTGGCGTCTCTACAGAATCCCCCCCCCCCGTCCCCCGGTCGCTATGTGACGGTGTAGAGCTCGTCCTTGCTGCTCTGACAGAGAGTGTAGCCACAAACCCGGGGTGTCCAGCTCCAGCTCCAGCCTCGGCTCCAGCCCAGCGACTCGCGCTGCTTGTCCCGGGGGGGCAGCAGGAACACCACGCAGGTGGCCACCAGGATGTGCCACAGCGAGTGCGTGTAGTAGTAGTTGTCCTCCGTCTCGGCGAACACGTACAGGCACACGCCCACCAGGGCGCACAGCGCGCCGGGGATGAGGTAGAGCACCCAGCGCTGCCACGAGGGCGGGTAGCAGCGCCGCCGCCGGACCCCCTGGTACACCTGCGGGCAGGAGGGAGGAGAACCTGAACCCACCGCGCAAATTTTTCAGAATCCCACCCCCCCAGCCCACGCCCGTCTCACCCCGACTCCACCCTTACCAGAGATGTATAAAGTACTGGAGTAGAGGAGTGGAGTAGAAGTACTAGTACTATATAAGAAAAATTGAAGTATTCTTTCAACACCATACTTAAGTGGAAGTATGGAAGTACTCAGTTTTTTATGTACTTAAGTATTGCAAGTAGAAGTATTTCAAAAATTGCTACTCAAGTATCGAAAGTATAAATAAAAGTACAAGTACTGCGTATATTAAAAAAGGCAGTCAAAAGTTTGATAGATATTGTTTATATTATTTCAAACGTGTGAACGGCCATACAGGTGTTTACAATAACAGAAAACTACATATGCATTAGCAATCAACAGCACTTCATCTACTATTATTTATCATTTTAGTGTCAGAATCATGAGCTGACCCTTTATGCTAGCATGTAGCATACAGCTAGCCAGCTAGGTTTGCTTTTGCTAATGTTATGAGTGAACAGGGAGAACTGAACTAGCGCTTACTTACAAGCTTATATGTCATTGTATTTTTTTAAACTTACCTTGATAGGCTTCTTCAGATTAGATGGGGAATTTTTGAAGGCCATGATTTCGCAATCTTTCGGGAGGCATTTTTTTTATAGGCTATGCTTGATCGCTCAAATGATGAGCCAGCTTCACAAAATGTGACAGAGACTTGGGGATGATTCATTACGTTTACATATCAGTTACGTGTCAATCAAAAATATGTAGTGGAGTAAAAGTAAAAGTAGGGGAAAAAAATATTTACTCCAATAAAGTACAGATACTGCATTTTGGTACTTAAGTACAGTACTTAAGTAGTTCTACTTAGTTACTATACATCTCTGACCCTTACCCAGGTGATGACCATCAACAGTATGGCGCAGAGGATGGGCCCCAGCAGGTTCCACAGGCCTCTGCGGTCCAGTTGGAGAGACATGGCGATCAGCAGGGCCCCGAGCATGTAGAGAGTCTAGACACGAGGCACAGAGCAAGCTCGTGTTTTATCGAATTCTGAAGAGCGTGAAGGCCAATAATTGGTCTGATATTCAGTCTGAACCCATATGCACAAGCTTTCTGTCATTTCTCTAAGCATTCTTTGTCTCCATGAGAGGTCCAAAGAACCGTTACAGGTTATTTAAAAACATTCTTACAGCGCTGCTCGATATAAATCCCTAATAAGAGTCCGAACACAGCAGGAGACGACAGCAGGCACAGCGTCTTACATATTTGGCCATGTCTTTGACCCGAGCCATGCACAGGATGGTGACCCAGATGGAGCAGATGGACCCCAGGAAGTCGCAGTATTGCAGGGTGTCGTACTCCATGATGCACATGACGGCGACGCCCGGCTGGTCACAGGCATGGTAGAACTAAAGGAGGAGAGACGTGCGTGAGAGGGAAAACTCTGTTTCCTTGGCAGCACGGGCTCCTCCGAGCGAGTTCGGGCTTTGCTCTGCTTGCTTTTGTTTATCTGTAGATTCGCAGACGGTTAAAGCGACCACACTCTGTAGATTTGTTTGCAAAATCTTACAAAATGACCGTTTGGGCGGAAACCTTCAGTGAATACAGTTAAACATTATGTTTGCATTAAGTTTATCTCTTTTTCTTTGGGTCTTTTGGCCCACAAATGATATTAAATCCACCCCTAACCCATGTTCTTTATCCCCCTTGGACTTGAGGAGATGATCTCTCTATTTATTTTTTTCTCCTCGAAGACAATAACTTAGTTCTTAGCATTGTTGAGTCTGATATGTCTAAATCCATGTGTTGGTGTAGTCTATGAATGATCCATCTATCTATAGTATAGTATAGTATAGTATAGTATAGTATAGTATAGTATAGTATAGTATAGTATAGTATGGTATAGTATATATATATTTTCATAGTGAACATCCCCGTTTTGCAACCTCTAGTTTTTGGGAGCTTTACCGTGGAGAAGAACATGGTGAAGAGGTAGACGGAGGCCTCTGTGATGAAGAGGCGCCTGACGGCCACCACGATGGCGGGCAGGAAAGACAGGTTGCTGAGCGTGAGCAGCAGAGTGGACGTCAGCTGGCGGCCGTACGACTGGGCGGCCGAGTCGTCCGTGCAGCCCCAGCCCTTCCATCCTGCACAGGCACACCGAGCAGAGACGTTTGGGCCAGTTTGGGCGAGGGGGCGGGGTTAGAGCTGGCACAGGGGTTGGCTCGTGTGCGTCCTACCGGCTTTGCAGTCGCAGGCGGCGTACAGGTAGCTGTAGGAGCGCAGCAGTCTGCATTCGCCGTACGGCCCGCAGTCCTCCACACAGGCACTGATGAAGACCTCTGGGACCACCGGCACCACAGACGTATTCCCACAGCCACTGCTGCCGGACACAGCCCCCGCAGGGTCAGGGTCCAGGATCAGACAAACTGAAGCAGCACGTGCGTGTTTCTCTGTATGTGTGTGTGTGTGTGTGTGTGTGTCTGTGTGTGTGTCTTACCTGTTGCATGTGAGCTGCAGGGTGAGGTACCAGGTTGTGGACTGAGGGAAAGGCAGCCTGACCACAGCTTTGGGGGCGCTGGCGTTCACGGCCGCGCCGTACCCTCCGAACAGAGCTGTTGGGAGATTCAAGGATCCACTTTTTATCACAAACTAGGCCCAAGTTCACCATAAATTTTTCAAAAACTTCTTTTTTTTTCTGGTTTTATTGCCTTCAGTTTGACAGAACTTAAATATATAATTATGGGCTCACAGTTCTGTACAGAATCAGAAGGTTACACCCTCCCAAGGGTTTTCTCGGTCATCTACTCCGAAAAGGCTCATAAAATGAGCTAAATACAGGCATGGACAGACTTTATATGACATATATCCAGATGCCATCAGTCTCCTGCATTGCTGTGGTGGAATTTAGTCACATTCGGGGCTTTGTGGGCGTTTTACGATCCGCATTTCAAACAGGCCTGGTCAACGAGGTCTGGACTTTGACCGGTTCATCGTGACGCCTCCATTCTTTTCTTTTTTCGGACGCTCTGTTGGAGGTTTGCTCCTGTGTTTGGGGTTCTTTTGACCCTTGGATGACCCACTCTCAGCCACATCATTTCCCCTCTGGATTCATAGGGAGGCTGTAAGGCTGCATTTTGTTTCAATGCTTAACCCGTCAAATTGTGGCGTAATGTGTTTGAGGAGCTGTTTTCATACACGTTAAGGCCTTGTCTGCGCCGCGGGATTTATCATTTTAATCCTGAAACATAAAGCTTTAGAGGAGAGGGGAGCTAAAAATGCCCTTCTCAGTGCGGCTGATGTGGACGCACATTTAGATGACTTTTAACCAAAACATGATAGTGTGGACCAGATCTTCAGAAAACAAAAGACAACAGACAGTAGAGTTGACAATAGTACCTAAGCCCAGTCGTTCTCTACTTGTGCTGTACCTGTCTGACAGGGTTGAGAGTGGTTGAGTTCCAGGACTGGAGCCCAGGGGGAGAAACAGGCGACCACAGTGTTGCCGTCCCCCAGAGTCGCGTTGGTCTGTAATGACACCACAAACACAGCTTATGGAAAAAATAAATAAAAAAAGGCGTCACCCCGGCTGTGCTCGGACGTTCCGAGGACTCACGGCGTTCAGGGTGAGCTGCAGGTTGAGGGTGCCGCCGGTGGCGTGCGGGGGCAGGGGGTAGGCCAGCAGCGTGGGCTGGGTGTGGGCCACGCTGACGTTGGGCCCGCCCGCCGGCGTGAACCGGAGCGACAGGACGTCCGCCTCCTCGCGCAGCACGGGGACGGACCACACGCAGCCCGGGGCCGGCGGGGGCGCCGGCGTTGTTGCCGGGGCGGCCGACTGGTTGCCGGTGGCGACCGGGGCCGTGACCGCGGAGCCGTCGGCCTTCGGGCCGGGCTGGCTGCCTTTGACGCCGATCTTCTTAAGGTCATCGTCTGCTTTGAGGCCTACGCTTTTGGGTTTACAGCCCACTGGAGCGAGCACGCACGGTTACAGAAAGACACAAACAGGTTGGATTAGGGTACAGATCAAATGTGTAGAAGTTCAATTTAAGACGCAGGGCACAGAGGCTGCCAAAGACGTCTATAGACGTCTTTTATGTTTTTCAACGAGAGAGGCTTGGGGAATGATCTGCTAAAGGTTGTCCGTAAATATCAGGCTTCTAGACAGAGTATGTACTAACAAATTGACCCTCTAGGTGGCAGTGCCACTTTTGATGGGAGATGAGCATAGACTGTGCAAACAAGAAAAACGTAATGGTTCGCTATGAGAGAACTTGTCGCCGATGAGACGCAAGTCGAGGAAGAACAGAATAAGGTAAAAACAAATTTTTTTTCCTGATGAAAGAAGAGAGTCTACTCTTTTTTTTGGTGTGTTCGGTGTTTACATAGTCAGAGCACAGACTATTCTGTGGCTCTTGAAAAATCAGTCAAAATGCTCAAAAAACTCTGGCAGTCAATGAGTTAAAAATGGACGAAAGTTAATTTTTGTCCTTCAAAATTCTCCTCAACTCCCCATTGTAACAAAGTTAAAAAGGTTTGTTTACACTCAAAACTGATCTCAGAAGCTATGTTCTATGATGATCCTTCCACTTTTTTTGGTAGTGATTTCGGCCATTTTGGAGTATTACGTGTGGAGAAAAAAAGAAAAAAGATGGAATCCAATGTGGACTAAAGCTGTAAACGTAGCACGGTGGGCACAAAGGTTGGGAGCTGCGTGCGACCGTACCTGCGCTGCTGGCGCCGATGCTGAACGTCACCGTGCGGTTGGCCTGGCTGCTCTCCACCACCACTCGCAGCCAGGCGTCCCACGGGGGTCTGAGCAGGGACGCGGAGCAGCTGGCCCCCGAGCAGTTGGCGGTCACGGCGCCCTGCTGCAGGGACGCCGAGCCCAGCCTGAGCAGCAGCCAACAGCTCCCTGGCGACCCCCCCGAGGAGCAGTCGGCCACGGACACCGTCACCGAGGAGGAAAACTCGGGAACGTACAGCCTGAGATGGAAACGGTTCCATTCAATGCACCTGCTGCATTTTAGGAAGGAAGTGCAGGAAATAGAACCCAGAGCATTTAGGGCACAAACGCTTCTTGCCTAAGTCGTGCGGGCCTGTCGGGGGCGGCGGTCTGTGTTAGGAATGTGCCGTTCTGCAAAACAGGCGTGTCCACCGCTCTCCTGATTGATAGCTGAGGCTGGAAGAAGTAGGAGCAGGACGGAAAACCCTAAGAGACGAAAACAAAGGGGCGGTTATGGCAATATATCGGGGGGGAAAGATAAACACAAACCGACCCACTGGACGTTTCAGCTTCTTTTATGCTACACACAAACGTGACTTCCTTTTTTTCCCCCCCTGCTGCAACTCTGCATGTGGAGCAGAGCTCAGGAATGTGGTTTTGGCACTTCCCGTGCAGAACAATCCGCCTGCTCCTGCTCGGCAGGTTGGGGTAAAACAACCCCCCCCCCCCCTCTCTCCCGTTCAGTTATCAGTAAGCAGTCTTTGGCTCCATCCATCTGCAGAGCAAAGCGGCCGTCACGCACCTCCTCCCTAAGCTGCTCCTCTACGTCCTACAGGACTCAGTGTGCTTGAAAACCATGTCCATAGCACATTATTATTAGTTCTTCGCAATCGTGTGTGGCTTTTTTCCCCCACACTGTGCCACTTGCTAAGCGACTTTATAGGAAACAAGTCGAGCATATGCCGGCCTGGTTGCATTTTTAGTACAGAGAGACATTGTTGAGCCCGGCAGTTTGCGAGTTTTGCACGGAAAAGTCAACTGACTTTTCTTTTTGTGCTCTGGATGTGTCGTCTCAAAGTGGCGTCTTAGCTTCTTAGGCATAAAACTGTCACAAGCTAGCTCTTTAAGACAGACAACACGCTGTGGTCTCTCCTCGTCCTGCACATTGTACGGGTGAAACCGAAGGCAAGATGGGCTTCGTCATATTTTCTACTCGTTGGCTTTAAAGAAAGCTGGTTTGGAACCAAATTTGGTCTTCTGCAGACCCGTCAAAAACCTGTCCATTACGCTCAGTCAAGCAGCTTCTCTCCTATTCATCCATACTGTGACCCCCCCTGAGAGGAACCACTGGGGTAAAAGGAGATTCTGTCTCTGTAGCACAACTCAAACTACCTGCACTTGCACCCCGTTGTGAGTCCTTATCATTTGAATATCATAACAATATGAATATCATAAAAAAATCCAATACTGAACCCTTAATGTTGACTATGAAAACCAGAAAAATAATACTCAATATAAAAAAATAAATAAGACAAAGAGCAAGAAATATCGGTCGATGGCCGCTATCTTTATGGGTAAAGCAAATCCAAAGAATGTCCAAAGTTAACTAAAAGGTATTCTTAATCTAGGAATGGATGGTATGATCTTAATTTAGATTCTTTTGAAAGGTAGCACTCTTCTTTGACCTTTAGAGGCCCCTGTCGAAAAAAGAACATTTTACAGCATATTTCAAATTGTTTTTTTAAAAACATTTTCAGGGATTTAACTCAATAGTTGATGTTTCCTGGTTCCGATACAGACCTTCTGCTCTATTCGGCCGTCATCCTCGGGCAAATGGGCGGCGACGTACCAGTCGCCAGGAGCAGGATCTGTGAGGTTGAAAGTTGTGGAGCTCTGTGAGGTTACCGGCAGAGTCAGAGACAGACAGGGGGTCCACAGAGCCGCGCTGGGAAACAGCAACCCTGTCGGGTTTATGACCGGAGGGGCGCCCCACCGAATGTGGCTGGAAAAGAAAGGGGAGAGGCGCATCGGGTTGGCAAAAGCCAAGATACGTGGCCAGGATATTCAGAGAAACGGGTTTAGCGGACTCACATAGTTACGTTGTGCTGTCCACAGTGAAAGCTGTGTCCCTTTGTCACTGAGAACAGCCAGCGGGCCACGGCGGTCTCCTCCGGAATATGGAACCTCTGCAGTCTGACGTTGCCATACCAACCGTACTTTGACAGCTTCTGAGCAGGTTTGGATGAAAGCTCCGACAGAAAAGTCGCCCGTCCATCTGAAAAGGAAAAAAATGTAGATATTTAAAGCTGCACAAACACCAGTTTTCTTGACTGCGTTCTTCAGTTTGCAACAGATCGTTCTGTTGAACCAAGAAAAAAATTAATTGTTAGATTTATCATATGCGAGTGGAAACGATGGACACAACTCCCAGGCTTATTTTCCTTTAGGAAAACCAGGCTTTCTTTACCTCAACATTTACTCTCTTTTTTTCAGAGGTAACTTGTAATCACACTTATTTAAAGACAGTCTCAGGAAGCCAAACAAACCCTGAGGGAGTCCTTTGAGGCCACGGACTAAAGTGCATGTGGTAGGTCACAGTAGGATGCCACTAATGCCACGATTGCAACAATTAAGCAAAAAAAACAAGGAGCACCGACTTTTAGGAGAAAGGTCGTATCACAAGGGAGCTTTACCACAAGAATCTCAGATTCCAAAAGGTGCACACCATGTGAGACTGTGGTAACGTGGTTGAGCGATGGTCAGGGGGGGTGGGGGTGGGGGGAAATATGCAGCACATGGCCTAAAACACTGACATGACGAGGAGCTGGCTCCAGCTCTGTTCGCACCCACTTCTGACTGGGGAAACACAGTGTCCACATTAAGCTGTCGTCTTCCGTGATTGACCGGGACCTAAAAGAGGCAGCTTGCACCGCATCAGGGGGTGCTTAAACACAGCAAGCGTAATACCTTGAGGTAAAGCGTTGTCAGGTCAGTGACATGTTCCACAACGCTGGCTCAGACCGTTTTGACCTTGCGACTAGTCCATTCGCTGACTCAAATCCATATCGCATCATTCCCCGTTTATGTATTTGGAAGGTGGCCTCGTGGCAACGGCATCAATGTGGTGAAAGCTTGGCGAAGAGGGAAACATTCCAGTGCGACGCCATTCTGAACACCCTGCTGCAATCACTCAAAGGTTTCTAAAGAGTTTAAAGGGCACAACCTCAAAAATATGTTGCTTAACTTGAATCTAGTTGAAGGCCATTTTAAAAGAGCTATTTCCACAACCTGAGACTGTTGCAACATTCTTACCCCATGCTGCCTCATATAAAAGACTCAAAAGTGGAGAGAGGCTCCCTGAACAGGGAATTGAAGTGGCTATAGGGCCGGAAAAATGTCCATAAGATTCATGTGAGAGGGATTTTAAAAATAACTGAGAGGAAAACATCCAACTGATTAACCTTAAATTAGAAAACAAGCATTTGTTAGAGTGATACAACTTTGAATTGTGTATCCGCTGCCTCTTACATTTTGTTCATGTTGAACTTGTGAGATTTAGCTTTTATGGTTTATTGATTTAAAATTAGTTTAAATTGTCAGAAAAAGAAGCCAAATGTCTGAAATTTGGCGAAAACATTAGTTGACACTGTCTGGTAGATTGTGATGACACATGCTTTAGGGAACATGTCATACAGAGTGGAATATTTATTAACAAAAAACTACAACCAAGTTAAAATTACACACTAGAACTACTGTATAATCGCCTGAGAAGAGCAGCTATCAACAGATAGCAGTTATATAACAAATTAACTGATACACCGACTGTTTTTACTTGTGTTACCTCCGAACAGAGTAAGTGTAAAGCTGAGGGGGAAAAAAATTCCCAGCTTTTTCTTAAGTAAGAGCAAGCTTTTCGGTGAAATAGTTTTAGCAGCTTGTGTTTGGCCCGTCCGGTTTCTCTGTCGCTGAGGCAACTTCAGAGCAGCGCACCACAACTGTTAGCAAACATGCTAATACCCGACCTTTCGGTGTAAAAACACTAACCGTCCCCGAATGTCCCTGCCGTGAGAACGACGAGATGGAAGCAAAGAAGATAGCAAATTTCCATGTTTCCTCTCCGGTCGTGCGGCTCGTCACATCTTCTCGCCTCCACCTGCAATGTCACACCGACGTTTCGCTTAAAAACACCTAATTCATTTGAGGTTCGTTCCACTTCCTGACTTCCTAGTAAATACGTGACGTCACTCGTCTAATGATGCTTCCTTTGAAGACTGTCGAAAAAATCCGCGAATAAAAACTACATTGACTAAATCGATGTCAACTTTGTTTCTCTGGCTAAGTTTAGGAGAAAATATATGTAAAGCTAAATGACCCGACATAACATATTGTAAATTGAGCTTTAAATAAAATGCGAAGCAAAAATGGTAAACGTAGATCTAACAGAGTGCTCAGGGAAGTAAAGGCATCATCAACAGTTACCTTTCTGCCATCCATCCATCCATCCATTATCAATACCGCTTATTCCCTCATGGGGTCGCGGGGGGGACTGGAGCCTATCCCAGTGGTCAACGGGCGAGAGGCAGGGTACACTCTGGACAGTCCGCCAGTCCATCGCAGGGCAACACACAGGACATACAAGGACAAACAACCACTCACACTCACATTCACTCCTAAGGGCAATTTCCCCAATCTCCAATCAGCCTAACATGCAGGTTTTTGGACTGTGGGAGGAAGCCGGAGAACCCGGAGAGAACCCACGCAGACACAGGGAGAACATGCAAACTCCACCCAGAAAGGTCCTGGTTCCCCCGGGATTCGAACCCAGAACCCTCTTGCTGGGAGGCGACAGTGCTAACCACCACACCACCGTGCCGCCCCTTTCTGCCATCATCCCCCCAAAAAATATTTATTCAATACTATTCCACTTTGTGATTTTTTGTTTATTTCCAAAAAATCTTTTCACATTTAGTAGAGAAATTACAATCTTTAAAATCTTTCTTTACATATATTGTTTACCTTACATGAAATTGACACTACCCATCAAAGGGATGGACATTATATGTGAAGAAAGGCTCACAAATAATCACATGGCAAGTTTGTTGTATTAAAAAGGAAAAGAACCACAAAAAAAAAAACACTCGGCAAAGACTAGAGAAAAAGAAAAACACAACACGAAAAGCCCAGATCTGATATTTGTAATCAAACTCAAACCATTGTAGTGTGTTCTATGCATTATACAGTTTCATCATCAATGCATTTTCCTATTCACATTGCTCATACTAATAATCTAATGGTTTTTTTTTAGCAAATCCTGCAATACATGGCCAAATAAAAATGTTAAACACGTCTTGATCACTGACCAAGTGACACAGGGAGAGAGATTCTTTGTATAAAATCAGCAAGCATCCATCTCATAAGTGCATTTTCAATTTCAGTGAATAACTACCTCTTCAGTGTCGATGCAAATGGCTTCAAAGTGAAGATTAGCAGACTGAATTGTGCTTGCAAAAGGTCATAAATACGTCACATCATCCTGCGACCCCACCCAGCACCACTGGGCATCGTAATCCAGTAACGGGCTCTTGACTTCAGGTGAATTCTGTTCTTCCTGTTTTTTATTGTCCTGGGACGCTGCGGAGTTCTCCCGCGTCGGCTGTGCTTTGTTTTTATTTCCCGACTCTTCACTCAGAGCACAGCTACCAGAATCCAATTTCAGCCCTCTCCTTTGCCTGCTGGACCTGAGAAGAACTCTTCTGATGGTTTCGGCGCCGCTTTTGATGTTTGGAAATCGTGTGGAGCCCCAGTCCTGTTTTTCTGACTGGGGCTCGTGAGCGCTAACCGCACTGCTGGCAGGAGCTACCGGCCCCTGGCGTCTACCTCCACGCGCTGAATGACTGACTATAGACTTGGATGGAGGAGTAATTGAAACTCTTGCTTCACTTGACTCTGATCGGAGCATGTCAGAGTGCTTTGAATCCATTTGAGGTGGTGTCTGAATTCTCCATTTCTCGCAGACGGCTTCGGTCGAATCCTGAGGGATGGCTGGACTTGGACTTTCTCTGTAGGGGCAATAACAGAAACACAACTGTACCATGGAGTCAGTTTACTTCTATGCTTTTGGAAATGATTTAATGTTTGAAAAAGAGAAAAAAGCAGCTCCTTCAGAAGGGATTCCTTCACATTACTTTAAACCTTTCTGAACAGTTGTAGTGACTGGGGTGTAACACATACCTAATTGGGGACCCGGGGGGGTCGGGCTCCTCCCCAGTCACCAGGCTGCTGAGGCTTCCCGTTAAGCTGCTGCCCTGACTGGTAACGGTGCCCCTGTCCTCCATTAGCCAACGCATGGCCTCGATACCCTCGTGCACGGCCACCAGCTGTCGCAGAATCCTCACATCAGCGGAGCGGAGCCACCTCTGTATCAACAGTGTGTGTGTGTGTGAGTGTGTGTGTTTGTGGGGAGGATGAGGACACATAAGTGTGTTTGTATGAGGAACCTGGGAAGGCGATTCCGCATACAACCCAATTAGCTGGACTTCTCTCATGCAGCTTCTCAGAAATAACTTACTTTGTCGTTAATCAAGAACAGAAAAATCAACAGAGCTGAGAAATAAGGGGAGAAAAAGAAGAGGCGACAGAGATGAGAGAGAGACATGAGGGGTGTGGTGAGAAGACAGGTGCATAGCATCTGTCACTTAAAAAAAATAATAAACAAGAAGGTGAGGTGCCTCAGGGGACTTTGCGGGCTTGACATTTATGCATTTTAAGGCAGTCATGCGCACACAGAAGGAGATTTCTGCAACAAGTCAAGCAAGTTGCAGCGCTGGCACAGGAAGCGGCGCAGGGAAGGAAGGAACTGGTTCACTTAGAGACATTCCACAAACAAGTCGCGCGTAATGACAGATTCTCTGGTGAAGGAGTGAGAGAAAAGCTTTACCATCTCCTGCTTCAAGCTGTGAATTTTCTCAGATAGGCCGCCACAGAGGGCTGCGTTCTGGTCGCCTCTGTCAAACGCCTCAGACCTCCAGCCCTCCTCCAGGTCAGCCGCCTCCTTCATCCAGATCAGAAGACTTTCCGGTGTTTTCCTCCCGATCTTATTTTCCAGCTCATTTAAATCCGGGAAGGAGTCGTCGAGGATATCCTCTGCCATTCCACCGTTCCCAAATTACCGACGAATAGGCTAAAAAGTGGCCGTGGATGAAGGAGCGCTTGTGCGTAAAAATCTGTCAAAACCTTCCAACGAGAAATTAAGGGCCCCCGGAGAGAGGAGACGCGCATCTACAAACTGCCTCCCACACTTTTCGACTTGCAGCAGGGTCCACACGTCACATTCCTGAACAATCCCCCGTTAAAACATGACAGCGGGCAGACAAACGCGTCACCGGAGCGCAGACCGAGCCGTGAAAGCGCTGGAAACGTGAACGAACAATTCGCCTTCAGCTCCGGACTGTTGTCGCCATTCATACAACATATGTGTTTCTGGTATGTGCCCCGAAACATGGTGCTGGAAAAGTGAAAATGTTCCTTTGTGAAGTCCTCAAACAATGGTGGGAGTTACGCACCGGAGGTCACATGGCAAAAGTTTCGGAAGCACCTGCGCGCGAGCAACTACCAAGCAGTTTGTGGGGGGGGACGTGAGCGCGCACTACATATTCCAACTATGTAAAGTCACGTGACAGCTGGCTAAAATTATATCCCCCAGCAAGGACAGAAATTGAATGGAGCGCTCGGCAGTGTCTTCCCTGTTACGGTGCGCGTATTAGAAGTAGACGTGATACCATAAACACATATTGGCACACATTAATGTACACCGATTTAAGAAAAAAACATAAAATAAATTATCCCTATTGTCACTTTTTGACAGGAAGGCATTTAAAAATCGTCTGAGGTTAAATCTGACCTAAACGCCACCTTCCATTCTAATTCAAGGACCTACCTTTAATTTGATGACCTAAGCATCTCCAACAGCTCACAGGTAACAATGGCCTAAACAACACAGGGCGAGTGGGCGGGGTCAGTGGCATACACGTTGCATCCCCCCCCCCCCCCCCCCCCCCTTTGCCAGTTTTTTTAAATAACAAGCTGCGATGAGTCTTCACCTGTAATAATTTTAATTGTTAAAAACAGTCTCCAGTAAATTATAAGTAGCCTGAACATTTAATACTAAAGTGATGTCAGAAACCAGTGAGACTGTTTAATAACGGCAACAAGAAACGTTTACGAGCCCTTATTGTTACTAAAGTCTTGCAATCAGATATTTGTGAAGCAATTTACTTCAGTGCAATTCAATTTTATTTATATAGCGCCAAATCACATGAACAGTTTTCTCACTGCGCTTTTTGTAAAGAGCAGGCCAGACCATACTCTGAAGTTATTTGCAGAAGCCCGAGAATTCCCACCAAGCACTGGGCGACACAGGCAAGGGAAAACTTCATTTTAACAGGAATCTAAAGCTAAAAGTTATCCTGTGTACCTTTTCTTTGGGATCATAGCAGCTCTACTAGTTGACCATAGATGGGATGAGATGAACATCGACTCCATCAGATCATACGAACCTGACGGAAATCTCTTAATTGTCTCTGAAGGCACAGATGTGTCACCAAAAATAGTTTCCCATCCAATATCCCAGCTAATATAATCAAGTTATTGAGCATACAGGTGGTAGAATTATGCTAGACTGGTGCAGCTCATGAAAAAAACTGAAAAAAAGGCATTAAAAATGGACAGTCTGAAGGAGTTACAGAGATTTTGCGCATTGACCAAAAGAAAAAGGGCAACTCTTTGAATATCAGTTGAGCAACATCTCCCTCATAACACACACAGCAAACATTCGAATGGATTTCTAACAAGCTGGTTGTTTTGACAAAACCGTTGTTGTTTGTTTGAAGGCAAAGCCTGCAGGTGCCTCTGTGGACTGGCTATCGCTGTCACCCAGAGACACTTTGGCTTTCACCACAATTGCTGTGGTCCATTTCCTGCACATTTTAAAAGGCTTCAGGGCTGTCCACGCTGGAATTTAGCCATCCATGCCAGCCAGGTTGCCTGCATAGCGATGGGAGAGACAAAGATCGCTATTTACTTTACCTTAAAATTATTAAACTTATTTGGTTTGTTTGTCTTGTGTTAGCAAAACGTGCAGATGGCTCAAATGAAAAAACAGCTCTTGATTATATGCAACAGTACCTGTCACCATGGAAAAGTCCTATGACTTCACTAATACGCCCCCCCCTCCCCCAACAAACACACACACACACACACACACACACACACACACACACTGTCTGGAAAAATATTTCAGTGCAAAATGTCAAAATAATTCACCTACAATTGTTATGTAATCAGAATAACATGGCTAACCAGGTGCCTGGTGCATAGCAGAGCATGGCATTGCTCATTTGACATTATGTATATAAATAAGTAAATATCAAAGATATGTTCCTGACCGATCTCCAAACCTTGACCCTAACCCTGAAAAGTCCAATAAGTTTGACCTCCCGTATATATGTATTGGTCCTACACTGCACGGACAAGAAAACACAAAATAGTCAAACTATTTCTAAACTATGCCACCATACTGTGCAGATGTTTGTGAGGCTTCTCTTTTCTCATTCAGCTTCCTTCATGCATCCTGAAAAGGGGGAAGTGGAAAAAGAGCAGGTCTCCACAGTGGACTGCACCCCACTTTCAGACACAGAGATGGGTCAGAAAGCAGAGCGGAGGGTGGCATCTGCCACCCACTGAAATAGATGATTTATTTTTATTTGTCCTCTCATCATGCCCCACATTGGTGACATAGCGATGGCTATAAAAAAGCCTCATGCTTTGCGCCACAATTACTGTTAAGGTCTCATGCCTCAGCAAGAACTGGATTCTCCATGAAAGATAAAGAGATTATTATTCATCTCAAAAATAATATTGCATGAATGTGCTTTACGATGCTTAAAATGCACAGGGGGCCGTGAGTCTGTGCTTGCAGAGGGGATGCAGCTTCGGCAACCAAGTAAATATATAAAGATTACACAGATCATTAGCAGAGCACAAGCAGAAACCGCCCGGGAGCCTTTGTGTGGTTGGGATTAAAAGTTAAAGGGAAAGACGGGAGGGGAAACTCTCACAATACACAAACAGCTACGTTTCTTTTTCCAAAAGGCAGACTAATGAATCCCGAGCAAATCTTCCCCTGTGATTTAAAAAGATGATATTTTATGAGACAAAAGTTTAATCTCCCTCCATTCAGCAGAGGGTAAGGAGGGCAGCGTTGTAGACTGTGATGGGTAGTTTCTGTGGACGGAAACCCGAATGAGACCTGTCGATGTTATTTAACAGTTTCCAATTGAGACGGCCTCCTTCATGCAAACTGCATGAAGGAGTTTAAATGCAGCTGTGCATTTAAACTATACAAACAGATAGAAGGAATTAGCTATTGAGGTCATGAACGTGCCATTTAAGTGATTGCGATCCTGATATGGGAGGCAAAAACTACTTAAAAAACATTACTGGAATATCAATGGGAACCTTAGAATCAACACATTTGAATTAGACTGTTTCGTCATTGTCTTTCTAGTTTGGGTTTAAAAAAAAAAGATAAAAAAAAAAGGTTCAAGGTACTTTCAGAGCACTTATAACTGTTTGTACTTTCTAAACAGGCCTGTAGATGGAGTCAGACCCTCAACATTTGGGCACATTCCAGCGGTGCATGTCAGCTGTGCCTCGGTAATCACCTCTAATTCTTACTCCTCCGGGATTGGAGTCATTAGTTCTGTTTTCGGGAGAGTTCAGATCGAGTTTCTCCAACGAGGCTGCGGAACCCTGCGCAATCCTGAAAGCGGAGCCTAAGTCAACACGCTGAGGTCACGTCACCAATCCAAGAACCCCGGAGAATGAGTTTTCCTTGTAACGTTAGAGGTGCGTCTCAGATATTAGCTGCCCGGGTCTCTCAAGAAAAACACGGTCAACTGCTGTTTACGGTTTCCATGATTACGTTACGCGAATTTCACAAGACGTTCTGTTAATTTCTCGGGTAAAAAAAAAGCCAATGGGAGGCCGGAACGAATAAAAATCAAGTTATACGCCAGGTGGGGTGGCATGTTGAATATTCCCCCTCCCCGTTCTAGCTGGTGCGAGGCTAACCGTGAAGTCAGCATTAACATGAGGTGGAGGGCAATCATAAAAAATCCTACACAGTGACAGAATTATGTTTTTTATGAGTCGGGGCCTCCGACTTCCAGTTTTAGGGAAATCGTAAAACCTGCGCAAACATAAAAAAGTGTCCAAAATGTGGATGTCATTGAAAGGCCACCGGTATCGGCAGATACGATTTTACTGCATTTGTCAGCGCAATTAAATGGGATTTACCGCGGATCATAAAGAGAAAGGAGGGTTTATTGCCAGAGCTTTTTTCCTTTTTTTTTCGTCCTTCTTTTAAATCTTCATCAAACCATCTAAAACACGACGACGGAAGCAAAAAAACTACATTTGCATAAGTGGGCTTCTGAGGGGATAACAAGCAATTTAGCGAAAAAGACTAGATATTTACCATCCTCGTGGTTAAGGTCAGTTGAGTGAGTGAGCCCGATGCGTGCATACGCTTAAGTTGAAGGTCAGGAAAACAGCGTTATGACTTAGGCCACTGGGCCAGGAAATCCTCTCAGCTCGCATGGCCCCTTGAAGGCATTCGCTTGCAAACAAAGTCAGTCACGCAGGGTGGGGGCCCCTCAACTCTTTATGGCCCAATTTGGCCAGAAATCACTCATTCACTCGCTCACATTTCCCATGAAAAATAAGCGTTCAGGTGCCACAGTTTACACGTGAAAAAAAAGCACAGTCCAGAAGGTATTCGAGAGGTCTGGAAGAGGCAAAAACAGGTGGTATTAACACCGTAGAGGCAGGGGACATGATCTCATCTCTCTTGAAATGTGTCCCTGTGCAGTCCCTATGGCTTCATCAGACCGTAGGACCTTTAACAAACCTGACTTTGGGTATTGTTTGGGCCTATCTGAAAGCCTGAGTCCCATTCAGTGGCGTTAATATTCAGCCTTGTTAACTCTGACCCTTTCTCACCTATTGACATTTTAAGGTTCCAAGTAAGAAAATGCTGGTAGGGGAGACCGAAAAGTTCCCAGAGGAACACACCGTGGCATTGCTTTGACCATTTCCAGGAAAATAACGTCCATCCTCAATGGAATGTCCAGTAATCATGAACACCTTCATCTCAAATCATCACCCTAGGCTGCGATCATTAGACAATAACATGAGATGTAATGACCATTCATTGGGATTTTTTTGGTGTCTACTTTTGGGATGCTTGGCAGTCCCATCTCTGGGTTCAGGAGCTTGAGATTGGGATTCCATCCAATCCACAAAGTACCTATCCTTGCAAAACCTCCTGTAGGATATGGATTCACAGAAGGCTGGCCTCCTGTAGCTCTTTCAGCCTACGTCCAGCCAATTCCCACAGGATTGGCCACACACGCTTCAGCTAGCCTTTCCCCGGGGCTCGGCCTGGGGCTGGCCCATATCTCTCTCGGCCGGACGGAGTAAGTGGGCTCTGTGAGTCTGACATCCTGAGGGGGTTTTATAAGCAGCACTTTGGGCACGTCTCTCACTCAG